GAAGCATACGCCTTACTGATGAGCCTGGAGACCTCGTTAGCGTCCTGGGATTTGAGGGCCTTCCCACCCAACTCCAGAAAATCCTTAGCCCGACGGAAATCACCAGGGGGAGGACCCACCCTTGGAGGAGCTTCGGCAGGAAGAGGTGGAGGTTTCCTGAAACCCAGAGCTTGCAAATGCCAGAGAGCAGGATGAAAGGCGAGGGCAACAGCGAAGTGCGGGGAGAACTCGCTGTCGTCGCATTTCCTAATGAACTTAACTCCACGGGCGAGGCCACCTGAAACAACACAGTAGTCATAATCCGATTGCTTTATTCCAAAACAAGTGGGTGCACCAGTGTCCACAATCTCACCGTGACATTTCTCGAGCAGACCCGTGTCCGAGACAACCGCTGGCTCCATGTTGAAGTCTCCTCCTACAACATAAGCCGTCCCTTCAAGAGACCAGAAAGTGCCAGTTGACTTCAGTAAGTCGAGCTGCCTATCTGTCACGCCTTCCGTGGAGACCATTTCTTTATTGCTTGGGGCATGCCGGGCGTCATGGCCCCCGCCCCCCTATGACGTAACGCCCCCCCCCCCAGTGCGCTCTGGGCACTGCCGCCGTGCGTATTGGGATCCGCGTAGGCGTCCGCGTAGGAATCCGCATAGGAGTCTGGTCCGCAGTCGTCGTCGTCGTCGTCGTCGTCGTCGTCGTCGTCGTCGTCGTTGTCGTCGCTCGTGGCTCGTGGCTCGTCGCTCGTCGCTCGTCGCTCATCGTCGTCGTGCGCGCGGACGCGGCTGGAGCCTTTTTTTAATATTCCGGGCCGGTGACGGCAATCATCTGGGGGGGTGGAGGGGGTCGATGATGTCACGCTTCGCCCCAGCGGCGCCTGGGAATGCCTAGGAATGACGGAGGACGGGTGGCACCAGCATGTAGGTGGCGATCTGTACCACAACGCCTGTGTACACCTCAGTGCCTGCGTGCACGACAGCGCCTGTGTACACCACACCGCCTATGTACACCACAGCAGCCGCGTGCAACGCAACGTCAGTTTGTGCCACCGCGCACGCGGGCACAACAGCTCTTGTGTACACCACAGCGCTTGCGTACACCACATCAGCCGTGTGCAACACAGCAGTGTACACCACAATGCCTGCGTGCATTGCAGTACCTGTGTGCACACCACGGCGCTTGTGTGCACCACAACAATCGTGTGCAACACAGCACCACTGTTGTATGTAGAATGTTAGCAGGAACCATTATGACAAAATAGAGCGTTTCTGGATTCCACCGGACACACAAGAAAATAATCCTTATGGACAAAGGAGCGCCAGGGGAATCTACGAGTCCTTCCGAGTCCATCCGCATCACCGTAACTCCTCCCATCTGCGTCCAGGAGGCTCCAGCTAAATTGGCCGTCCGAGAACCAAGTGGGCCGATTCAATAAACCATTCTGCGTTGCACGCTGAGTTGCGCACGTGCGCTGTAGCGCCAGCCCGCACGACAGGGGGTAAGGAGGAGGAGGAGGAGGAGGAGGAGGAGGAGGAGGAGGAGGAGGAGGAGGAGGAGGAGGAGGAGGGAGGATTAGGAGGAGGAGGAGGAGGAGGAGGAGGAGGAGGAGGAGGAGGAGGAGGAGGAGGAGGAGGAGGAGGAGGAGGGAGGATGAGGAGGAGGAGGAGGAGGAGGAGGAGGAGGAGGAGGAGGAGGAGGAGGCGGAGGAGGAGGAGGAAGGAGGAGGAGGAGGAGGAGGCGGAGGAGGAGGAGGAGGAGGAGGAGGAGGAGGAGGAGGATAGGAGGAGGAGGAGGAGGAGGAGGAGAGGAGGAGGAGGAGGAGGAGGAGAGGAGGAGGAGGAGGGGAGGAGGAGGAGGAGGAGGAGAGGAGGAGGAGGAGGAGGAGGAGGAGGAGGAGGAGGAGGAGAGGAGGAGGAGGAGGAGGAGGAGGAGGAGGAGGAGGAGGAGGAGGAGGAGGAGGAGGAGGAGGAGGAGGAGGAGGAGGAGGAGGAGGAGAGGAGGAGGAGGAGGAGGAGGAGGAGGAGGAGGAGGAGGAGGAGGAGGAGGAGGAGGAGGAGGAGGAGGAAGAAAAATAAGAGGAGGAGGAGGAGGAGAAGGAGGAGGAGGAGGAGGAGGAGGAGGAGGAGGAGGAGGAGGAGGAGGAGGAGGAAGTGGAGGAGAAGGGAAGAGGGAAAAACGTCGCATTCTATTATCTACACTTTCCTGGCGTGGCGCTTCCGCAGCAAATCCTCACGTACAGGCTCCTTCTACCTGTCTTATGCACCCAGGCGCTGTGGTGTACAAGCTGCGTTGCACGCGGATGCTGTGGTGTACAGGCGCTGTGGCGTGCACAGGCGCCGCGGTGCACGCAAGCATTGTGGTGTACACAGGCGCTGTGTTGCACATGCTTGCCTCTGGTGTGCACATGTACACCGGCGCTGTAGTGTACGTAAGCACTGCAGTGTACACAGGCGCTGCGTTGCACACGGTTGTTGCGATGTACGCAGGCGCTGTGGTGTACACGCGCGCTGTGGTGCACGCGAGCGTTGTAGTGTACAGAGGCGCAGGGGGGCAGACCGCCACCTACGTGCTGCTCGCGTCGTCGTCGTCGTCGTCGTCGTCGCTTGTCGCTCGTCGCGTCGTGCGCGCGGGCGCGGCTGTGGTGCCGGAGCCACACGGCGGGGGGGGGGCGTTACGTCATACCCCCTCCTCGACCCCCCCCCATGACGCCCGTCATCGCCGAACATAAAGAAACGTTTTCATGTCGAAACAGTACACCGAAACCAGGGGAATCTGAGCACCTCCAGGAAGATGAGCAATCGCTCCCAGAGCACGTCCCGAATATAATTGATGCGGCTACTGGAGTCCCAGGAAGTTCTTGGCCAGGATGGCCACCCACCAGACGAGCCCCCCTCAAGCGCACGTAAAGCAGGCTGCCAGAGACTCTTCCAACCATGATCAAAACAAAACTTCGATGCGCGGCCAATGGATTCATTATCCACGAGGTGCTGCTCCTGTACTAAAATATTGTGTGGGGGTCTAGCCGAAGGCAACCAGTCTCGCAGCGTATCCCAGCTGTCGCAGTTAGCAGTGGTGATAACTAGCTCGATCTTATCGTCTTCTGGCCTGGGACCTGGGCCTGGAACTCCTGGGCCCGAGAGATACTGAAAAAAGTTGATTCTTCCAAAACCTGGCCTCGAGCTCTGCCCCGACTGACAAAACCTAGCCTCCCTGAGGGAGGTAGCAGACGAGGTAGCTTGAGCTGCGAGGTCAGCGTGAGAGTCCGCGGGGGGGGGCCCCTCCCGTGTGAAAGGCGTTCCCCCCCCGCCTCCCCAGGCTGAGGTTGGCGGGGGAGGCTGAAAGGAGGCCTCCTTCTTGTGCGAGGCTCTGGCCAGCCTGGCACGCAGCTCTGGGTCTGCTCCCGAGGGCCGAACGCTGGCCGCAGGAGCAGCACTTGCAGAGCCCGCGGAGGCAGAAGCAGAAGCGGCGGCTGAGGCTCCGCCTGCAGCCTCAGGAGGCGGCGCGGCGACTCCACCACCAGGGGGACCATCTCCATCCGCTCCAGCTTCAGGATGCCCTCCCCCAGCAGCTGCAGGTATCGTCACCAGGTACAGCTTCACCATCTTCGTTTTTACGCTTCTTCTTGGACATACCAGTGAGGTGATCCTTGTGCTCCTTACGAGCGGCCTGGAAGTGCTCGGAGGCCGCGCCGAACAGGTCCTTCGCCATGTCCTTGAGCCCGTTCTGGAGCAGCATCTTGCGAGTCTCCAGCTGCTCCCTGTCTTGCGGCGACATCTCGTACTCTTTGGGCAGGTCCTCCAGCAGGTCATCCTCCAGGATGAAGTTGACTTCCTCAGCTTCCACCAGGGCGCGGAGGCTGATGGACGGGCCTTTCGGAGCTGAATCCTTCTTCGGGGCGGGCTGCTTGACCTCCATGCTGATCTGCGACACCAACTCCGAGTAGTTCTTATCCAGCGCGTCCATCTCGTCAGACATCTCATGGATCGTGTTCTCCAGGGCGAGGACGCCTGCACGCCATCGCTCCAACTTCAAAAGCTCTTTCTCGAGGCGCTTCTCCACGCTCTTGATCTTGGACTGAGCCTGCGAGGCCCGAGCATGCAGAGAGACGGGGGGCAACACCTTCGCTTTGGCCTGCTGCACCAGCTTCTCACGAGCCGCGTCGTACTGCTTGGCGAGAGCACCCTGTCCCTGGCGCGTCGCAATCGCCGCCAGGGAGATGAGGTCCTCGATGCTGATCCCGTCCGTGTTGATGACTCCTGGCCGCGGACCTCGTCCAGTGCCGACTGGGCCATGTGGAAGCGGGGGGCCAGGCTGCTGGCCAGGTGGGGCAAGGGCCTCCTTGCCCCACGACTGCAGGGCGTCATCATCGTCGTCAGCACGGCGAGCAGCAAGAGAAACTTCGATACATGTCTTAGGGTTCCACTGCTCCTTGCAGTGCTTGCAGTACCACCAGCTCGAATGATTTTTGGCGCAGCCGCAGGGGCACTTCCACTTGAAGACTCGGTGGGGTGCTGGCCTGCTGGACCAGGGCACCATTACTTCGTCGTGATCCAAGGGAGAACAGTGCAGGCGCCACCTGCGTACGGTAGGCTGAACAGTGCAGGCGCCACCTGCAAACGGTAGGCTGAGGGACAAAGCCAAGAAAGGCTCGGTCGTGCAGCGCCGTTCTGAAGTTCGCACGGCCAAGCTCAGAATCAATATGAGCCAGAACGGCTAAGAGGAGGAGGAGGAGGAGGAGGAGGAGGAGGAGGAGGAGGAGGAGGAGGAGGAGGAGGAGGAGGAGGAGGAGGAGCAGGAGGAGAGGAGGAGGATGACCAGCAGGAACAGGGAGGAGGAGGATGAGGAGGAAGAGGAGGAGGAGGAGGAGGAGGAGGAGGAGGAGGAGGAGGGAGGAGGAGGAGGAGGAGGAGGAGGAGGAGGAGTTGCACCTTGCAACCTGTGCACAGGCGCTGCTATCCCTGTGCACTGGCGCTGTCGACCGTCCCCTGTGGCCACTGCTCCCCCCCGAGGACGCCCCTGCCAGCGCACGCCGCCGCCAGCATGGTCGACGCGGGGCCTGCAAGTCTGGGGCCGGCATGGGCGAGGTCAGGATTTGAGCCCACCCCGTCTCCTCCTCCTCTTCCTCCTCCTCCTCCTCCAGCTGTTCTGGTTCACGAGTTCTTCCTGAGCCTGGTCGTGCGAACTTCAGAACGGCGCTGCACGACAGGGCCTTTTCGATCTCAGCCACGGCAGCAGGCACCAGTTCCAGTCAGTACGTTATCATGGCTTCGCCTCCTTGCTCCATGGTGCGCCCCCCGAAGCGCAGGCAACCGACTTGGAGATGCGAGGAATGTGGGTGCTCGCGAACCCTCTTGTCCCGATGATTTTGCAAGCACTGCCGACCACAGTGGCGCCCAGCGAGGGTTCCAGGAGACAGCGACCTCCTGGCGAGTCGTGATGGGGCACCTCTTCCTCTCCCTCCTGGTCCCGTCGCCGTCAGAAGGAGGTGGCAGAGGTAGAGGAGCGAATGCTTGGGGCCATCGGCCAGCACTCCGTTCCCACTCCAGCATCGTCACGGAAGGTTTAAGTCGGGCGTGTGCCTCTACAGGAGGAATGTTCAAAAATAGTCAACAAATGCTCTGGGGACGATTTTCCGGGTACTTCTGGACCATTTTTGAATATTCTTTGACTCTTTTCATCTTTCACCCAAAATCCCTCTGTAGGGGGACGCGCCCGACCTAACGGAAGGTCGCACGCGAGCTAGCCAGGCCCAGCCTACGATCCAGCAGTGCGAGAAGCGTCTGGCGAGGGAATTGGAGAAGCAGGAGCCTGTGGGAAAAAAAACACATCTGTGGGTAAATACACATTTTTTTTTTTTTTTTTTTTTTTGTTTTTTTTTTTTTGTGTGTGTGTGTGTGTTTTTTCCTATATCTGTGTTGTGGTGGTTTCTGATAGGTTTCTAGTGGTGTCAAAAGAGAGCAGCAGATGACTCCACAGGGGGGTCTGGGCGGGTGCCGGACAGGGTGCCGCAGAAGTCGTTTTAAGCCAACAGTCACACACTTCGTGCTCTTCGACCTCCCAGAACTCCATTCCCGGGCCACATTCTGAATGCCCGGAGCCAACTGTAGGCCACTTCGTGCTCTTCGACTTCCCAGAACTCCATTCCCGGGCCACATTTTGAATGCCCGGAGCCAACTGTAGGCCACTTCGTGCTCTTCGAGTTCCCAGAACTCCATTCCCGGGCCACATTTTGGATGCCCGGAGCCAACGCCACGTGCTCTTCGAGTTCCCAGAACTCCATTCCCGGGCCACATTTTGATGCCCGGAGCCAACGTAGGCCACTTCGTGCTCTTCGATTTCCCAGAACTCCATTCCCGGGCCACATTTTGGATGCCCTGGAGCCAACTGTAGGCCACTTCGTGCTCTTCAAGTTCCCAGAACTCCATTCCTGGGCATGATTTTGAATGCCCGGAGCCAACTGTAGGCCACTTCGTGTTCTTCTAGTTCCCAGAACTCCATTCCTGGGCCACATTTTGAATGCTGAGGCCGGCTGAGGCTGAGGCAGGCTGAGGCTGAGGCAGGCTGAGGCTGAGGCCGAGGCTGAAGGCAGACTGAGGCTGAGGCTGAAGCAGGCTGAGGCTGAGGCTGAGGCAGGCTGAGGCTGAGGCTGAGGCAGGCTGATGCTGAGGCAGGCTGAGGCTGAGGCTGAGGCTGATGCAGGCTGAGGCTGAGGCAGGCTGAGGCTGAGGCCGAGGCTGAAGGCAGACTGAGGCTGAGGCTGAAGCAGGCTGAGGCTGAGGCTGAGGCAGGCTGAGGCTGAGGCAGGCTGAGGCTGAGGCTGAGGCAGGCTGAGGCTGAGGCTGTGACTGCGACTGCCGTTGCCGCTGCGACTGTCATCGCGAATGCGACTACGACTGCGAGAACAGCAGAATTCTACAACTGGATTTTCATCTGAATCTTAAGGGGAATGCTTTCAGATATGCTTCTACACATCGCTGTTAGGTTGCTTTGCCGGGATAATTTTCCCACTGTGTGTGTGTGTTGTTCCCGCAGTTTTTTGGAAAGCCGACGTCGCGCACCTTGAAGGCACAGTGCAGACGGTGCCACACGCACCCGACGGGCACGAACTCTCTGCTACAGGGACCCGGCTGCGCAGATCCGAGTGGCAATGCAGGCCCAGGACCCGCCGAAGATCACCACCCACCAAACCACCCCAACCCAACCCGAAGGCCTCAATCTGCCCTCCATTTCCAGTTGGGGGGGGGGTCGGGGAACATTGAAAAAACACCTATGGAACCCGTACCCCCCACAACCCGAAATTGGGGTCTTTCGGGTTGGGTTGGGGTGGTCTGGTAGGTAGTCAGAAGAAAGGTACGAAGATCAGTCTCAAGGCCCTGGCCGAGGTGGGCGCACGTGTGGACATTTCGACTTCGAAGACGGCTTGCTTGACACTCTCCCCTCGGAGTTCGAGGCATCTGGGCAGGACCTCCAGCAGATCTAAGAGCGGAAGAGGTCTCTCCAGCAGGGGCTCAAAGAGATGGCGAAGCAGCTGTTCGGCACAGCGGACGAGCAGCCCGCGAAGGCCAGGGAGGAGCTCAAAGCTCAGATCCTGCGACTCCCCGAGAAGAAGCGGAGGACGGGTCAGTACGAGGCAGTGCCAGGTCAAGGCGATGTGCCAACTGAAGGTGGTCAGCAGCGAACCGAGGGTCGTCCGCCTGAGGCTGGCGGTGGAGCCCCAGCCGCGTCCTCACCGCCTGGTTCGCAGACGGGCTGCTCGGCGATGCCCACTGCGGCGCCAGCTTCAGGAGCTAACCCAGAGCTGCGAGCACACAACCGCAAGGCACTCGAGAGTACGAACTATAATTGGGGCGCCCCGCTTGTTGAATGAGCAGGGTCAGCTTTTTGTAGTTCAGGCGGGGGGTCCCAGAATCCCTTGAAGGGGCCAGCATCCCCTTTCAGTCTTTCTAAGGATGGGCCCTCTGCGCATCGAGGTCTTGAGGTTTTGACCCTGGTATGGACTTCGTCACCGTTCGGGTTAACGTGGGGTCGCACTTCGACTTTTTCTAGGCCCCACGCCCCGTCATTGGGCGAGTTTTGCTTCAACTTCGAAACCTGCAACGCCGCGTCTTGGGGGCCGCGCAAGAGTGGCTCCGTCGTGCCCAGGCACACGCTGTGGCCATCCAGGAGCACCACCTGTCGTCTGAGGCTGCGTGCCAGGAAGCGCCCGCCTGGTGTCCGAGGGACGGCTGTAAAGGCATCGCTCCTCCCGGCACCGGCGAAGGCAGCTCGGGTAGGGTGGCGGTAGTGTGCCGCAGCTTCCCAGGCTCTCACGACAAGCCTCAAGATGGCTCAGAGCTGGCCCCTGGCATGGCCATCGCTGGGCCTTGCAGCTCCCCGGGGGGCGGAAACAGGACGGTGCTGTTCGCCTCCGCTCACCTGCTCTGTCCGGAGGGGATTTCAGAGAGAAGCTCGGACATCTCGAGTGCTGTTGGATCGGCTGTCAGGCTCCACTCGTCCGGCTTTGACTTGGGCCCCAGCGAGGTGTTGAGCAGTGGGCTCCCCGAGAAGATGCTCGGAGTCTCCATCGCCCCGTCGTGCGTCTGGGGCCTGCCAGAGGCCGCAGGAGGGCTCAAAAAAGTTGCCAGGTTTCGTTCGGTCGTCCAGCGGTCTCGCGAAGATCGTCGAGCAGACCTGGGCGTGCGACGCATCGAACATCGCGCCGCAGATGCCAGCGCGGCCAGGGCTGCACCCGCGAGCATCTACCTCTCGGGCTCTTGCGTTCGAACCCCCCCCGCCCATCCCTTCACAAAGGTCTCTATCGGGCCAACAGACGCCCGCCATCCTAGGAGAAAGTGCTGGGGCTTGGGAATGGGAAAGCTGTCGTGTATAGGCGTTGGCTTGGGGAGTCTACCAATTGGCTGCTCATCCCTCTCATGAAGCCAAACGGTGGCCCCCTTATCTCCAGCTACGGCTTCCGCCGACTCCGGCTCCAACTCCTGCCGCCAACACGTCTCCTGAGGGCTCTGGCCACCTCGCGCTGCCCTCTGAGGGCCGGTCCCGCTGGACCGACATCGCGCGCTCGCCTCGCCTCGCTTCTCATGAAGCCGAACGGTGGCTGGAGGCCCGTCGGCCATTCTTGTTCGCTGCATCGGCCGCGGGGGAGATGCCGCAGAGCTTGCGCACAGCACTGGGAAGTACAGCGTGCCAGGCCTCTTTTGGTTTCCGCTGGCGTCGGACGCGGAGGCATGTTCGCATAGCGGAACTTTCTAACGCCAAGGACGTGGTCGCGGGGTAACTTTTCTTTGCGGTATGACTAAGCTCGGCGAAGGAATTTCCATTGAAATATTGGAGCTGCACCGCGAGAGATTCACATTCCCGCCGTCGATCTTTAAGCTTTCGATGGCAGCCTACCGCAGCCCTCGCTCCCTCAGCGCCCCCAGCCTGGGGGTGGGCCCTTTCTTCTTAGCAGGAAGGGCGATGGCAGCTTGCAGCTTTGAGGATAAGGAGGAGGAGAAGGAGGAGGAGGAGGAGGCGGAGGAGGAGGAGGGGGAGGAGGAGGCGGTGGGAGGAGGAGGAGGAGGACCAGGAGGAGGAGGAGAAGGAGGAGGAGGATGAGGATGACCATGAGGAGGAGGAGGAGAAGGATGCAGAAGAAGAGGGGGAGGAGGACAAGGAGGAGGGCCAGAGGAGAAGAGGAGGAGAGGAAGGAGGAGTAGGACAAGTGTAAACCCAATATTCACTAACGATGTTGGAATCAACCATCCCTCCGAGCTCCCTCTTCATAGGCCCCTGCACGGGTACATTTTCACAGAGGGAACGGCCCTGAAGCATGCCAAAACACCATTCTCGGGACTCCAACGCCACGGATCAATCTGACAGTTGCGTCTTGACGATCTTGAATCGTGCCGGAACATTCCTGGGACGTCAACACCACGAATCAACGTAACTATTGCACCCTCACAATCATTCATCCTTTCACAGTGCTGCTTCTGGTACGTTGACCATGGGAATCCGCGAAACTGCTGCACATGTTTAAGACGAGTGTGCGCGGCTCGAAGGCGAGAGCCACATTTTGAAAACGAGCAGCCCACAATCCGTGAAACTCTTGCAATTGTTTCAATCGAATGTGCGCGGCGTGAAGGCGAGAGCCACATTTTGAAAA